CTTGCTTGCTGAAAGTAAAGAGGACTTAAAATATTTACTGATGAAGATCAAAGAGCACAGCCTTCGGTATGGATTACATCTCAATGTAAAGAAAACAAAAGTCCTCACCACTGGACCAATCAACATTCTTTTCAACGGAGTTGATTTTTTTGAAGTTGTCAAGGACTTCAATTTTCTTCCATCAACTATCAACACTCATGGAAGCAACAGTCAAGAAATTAAAGGATGTATTGCATTAGGCAAATCTGCTGCACAAGACCTTTTTAAAGTGTTGAAGAGCAAAGATGTCAGTTTGATGACTAAAGTGCGCCTGACCCAAGCCATGGTATTTTCAATAACTTCATATGCATACGAAAGCTGGACAGTGAATAAGGAAGACTGTAGAAGAATTGATGCTTTTGAGTTATGGTGTTGGAGGAGAATATTGAAAGTGCCATGGGCTACCAAAAGAACCAATAGATCCGTTTTGGAAGAAGTGCAGCCAGAATGCTCCTTGGAGAGCATTGTCTCTTAGTCTCTCATACATCAGACATATTGTCTCTCATACATCAGACATACTGTCAGGAGGGACTAGTCACTGGAGAAGGATATCATGTTTGATAACCTTCTCCAGTGACTGTGGGTCAGAGAAAAAGAGGAAGACCCCCCGCCAACGAGATGGATTGGCCAAGTGGCAGCATCGATGAACTCAAGCGCAGCAACAGTAGTGAGGTTGGCCCAGGATCGGGGAGTGTTTCGTTCTGCTGTGCACAGTTGCTATGGGTCGGTACCGACTAGATGGCAGCTTACATCAAGTATTTGCAAATATAAATTTTAACACATTTTGCCAGATAGCTTTCCCTCAAATTGTAGAAATTAACACTCCTAATAGAGGTACCTACTTATTCAAATCCTTAGTAAAGATCTTTCTATATTTATAAATCTGAGATATAAAGTGATATCTCATTGCTATTTGGTTTAAATTTCCCTGCCTATAAGGCAAGTATGATATCTTTTCATATTTTTTTTTACCATTTATCTTTTTTTTATGTGTGAATTACCTGTATGTATATTTATTTTTTGCCCATTTCCCCCCTCTTGGTTGTCATCTGATTGTGGCAGTTCTTTGCATAATTAGGGATATGTGTTGAGAAACATTTTTCCTCAAGATTTCATTTTGTTTTTTGAACTATGTAAGTTGTTTTGTTGGTGGTTTTTTTTTTTTAATTTGGCCAAATCTATATATTTTTTTCCCCTTAGGACTGAGTTTCCTGTTTTATTAAAAAAAAAAATTTAATGTGTTTCCTTAAGATTTTCTCTTATTATTTTCAGAACTTAAAAATTTTTATAATTTAGATTTTTATTCTACCTGATCGTTTTTTATCTTGTGAGATAGTTTTTCCATAATTAGTTGCACTATCATTATTGGTTTATTATTTTTAATGTATCCTTTTCACACTGAAATGAAATGTCATTATTAATACATCATAAGTTCCCTTATACGCTGGTAACTGTTTTTGGAATGCCTTCTCCATTTCCCTTATGTACTTTTTCTTTCCCATACCAAAATTGCCTATTTTGATGATAGTTTTAGTATCTTGTGGAGGGAAAAAAAAGAATCATTTTTTTCCTCAAAAAATGTCATAGAAATTCTTGTATATGATTTTCTTCATAAGTTTCAATATAATTTTGCCCAGTTATAAAGAACCCTATGATGATTCTGACTGGACTAACATTAAATTCATATACCAATTTGCATAGGATTGACATTCCTACTAAGCAGGCTCTCTCTCATTAAAACACTGTTTTGCCATCCAGTGCCCTTCCTTATGGGTTGCTTGTTCATTTGGTTGAGTTGCTGCAATGTTCTGAATTCCAACTGCCCTTCCAATCTCTGGGGTTTTCTGCATTGTGTCCCTCTGTCTGGCTAATCATCTGTTTGGTCTCAGATTAAATGTTGCTTCTTCTAAGGTCTTCTCTGACCCTTTTCAAACTTACATTAATTCTCTTCCATAGCACCCTGCACTTTTCCAGTATATACATAACAGCATTTACAAATATTTAATATGCTGTTACCACAAGAACATATTTCAGGAAGACTATCAACTTGTTTTGTACCAATGTCCAGCAGGATCTTAATAAAGATTTATTATTCTTTAAAGGGAGTTATCTGTTAGTTCAAAGATTGAGCTATATCTGAAGACCTGATCTCCTTTCTTCACCAATCTAATTAACAAACAACTCTCTTAAAAACCATGAGTGAATCATTCACATTGCTTTAAAATGAGGAAATATATGGCAATTGGCACTGCTTTAAAATGAGGAAATATATGGTTATTGGCATCAATCGGAGACTTTTTTGGTTTAAAACAAACAAAAACTTCCTGGAGAAAAGATCCTTATAATCAACTTTTGAGCTATTCCTAAAAAATGGGTCTCAATAATCCAATGCTTACAGGAAAAATAAGAATGTGTACTTTTAAAAAATGCTTATTTCTAGCATAGTTTTTATCTCTGGGTCCCTTCTTCCGACTGTCATCAAGTCAATGAAGATTCATGTAGGGTTTCCGAGGCTGTGAATCTTACAGGAGCACAAAGTCTCCTCTTTCTCACTCGAAGCAGTTGGTGGATCTGAACTGCTGACTTTGTAGTTAACAGTCCAATGCATAATCCACTATGCCACCATAACTCTGGGTAGCCAAACTAACTTGAAGCTCAAGTAGGGAGATGAAAATGTAAGTAGAAACAAAAGCCCATTTAAATTTTATCAGAACAAATTTTATTTTTACCTATAGGTCATTACTGATTAGCAGCTCATCTATAAATTATGGAGTCGAAAAGACTGCTAATTGAGAATTCCTCAAACCAAGTATTAATAGAAATATTCCAGTGAAATACTCTTGCAAAGATTCTGGTTTTTGATCTCTCCCCACCATTTCCTCACATTATACAGGGATAAAGTTCCTTCCCACATACGAGTATTACTAAATATCACTTTTATCTGAACAAAAACACAATACACAAGTGTACTAGAAATATTTGGTTCTTTTTAATTAGCTATTGATGGGATAATAAAGTAAATTTAAGTGGCACCTAATTTAAACATTTAAGATAGTTCAATGAAGGATCATCTACAACACGTTAAGCCCAACTGTCAAAATAATGCCTTTTTCACCCCACCAACAAAGGAGTAAAAAAAGGCATAATCAAAATTATGACCAGCAATTTGGGTTCATTTGGGTACTTAGATGATTTTGTAGGCAAATGAGCAGGCACAAAGTTGAAAAAATCATCCATTAGGTTTTGGAATAATGGTATCACAAAGTTGAGGTCTGAAAGTAAAGAAAAATATCCACCAAAAATCACAACCAATTTTTTAATGACTTTGTCAAAAATATTAAGATCACTGTTTTGAGGAACACCTTTTCTCTTCGAACATTTACTGAAATACTCAGTGTATTAAATAATTTACAGAGAGAAATAAGTTCTGTGTTCTGTACAAACAAAAGGACTTGTAATTACCCACACCCATCTCAAAGCTCAATTTTGCAATAGTCTTACTAAAAAATAAATTCAAAATTTGAACAGAATTTATAGCATAACAAAAGTTTAAGGACCCCTTTCATTTAATTACTTTTTCTAACAGCAAAGGTTATACTGACATAATTGAATGATCAGAATGTAAAAATATTTGTGCAAAACTGCATTAATTGTTTTTACCATCTAATAGGAGCAAAACCTAAGAACACACAACACCAATAATGAAGAAAAACTACATTAAAGTAATTCTATTTTAGATTTCAAACAGGGATTATACAATTACTGAACATTAACAGAAAATGTGGCACCATGAGCAGCAGGAGCAACAAATGATTCGGCAATTATGCCATGGAAGGAAAGCTGACATTGGAATATGCCAAAGTTTATTTCCACCAACAGCCATCCATCTTAAAAGACTGGAAACAACTGTAGGCGTACAACTCACTTCAATGTCTTTATTCTTGAATTTGCAGATCATAAATGTTTGTGAAAGTCTTTTATTCCCCTTCTCAGGAGTGTTTCTTGTCACTGAAAATCCTTAAAAGAGCTGAATCATAGACTCTCTGGATTTACCTACACCAATCCATTTAACTAGAAACAAACAAACAAAAACTAGCGTTAATTTATAATGCTCAATCTTTGGGATTATGAGATAGGCCACTGTTTTAACGTTTCTCTCCATACATTTTTTGCTGTCTTTTTCCTATTCTGCTAGCAGTCTACGCTTATTTCTACACACAATATATAGCCAAGATGCAGTAAACGTTTACCATTAACTTTTTTTTTAAATGTTTTATTGTGAATTATATGATAGTTTACATGGGAGAATATTAGTTTTACATTCATTCTATCGTATACTGTTTCATTGCCATGGTTCCAATCCCCTGCCGTTAACTTTTAACTTTAAAAAATCATCTGACTTAAAGAAACTCTGATCAAGTTAGAGATGATGAAGAAAAAAAAAAAAAAAAAAAACGACTGGAGACCCATTGTAACTTTTATATCTCAAAAGTAAAAGTATCTAGACTAAAATAATATTTTAACTTGGATAGCCTTAGCAACTGTCTACTGTACCAGCCTATGGGAATCTCTAATCATCTGTATCATATGGTTTTACATTGTTCACGGAATTACTGTGTCCAACAGGGTACTGTTAGGATAAACTTATGTGGAATTTTACAGTTAAGACTCACTGCGACTCACTGCTGTAGATATATATTTTTTCATTGTTTGAGTAAGAGCAATGAGCAAATATGCTTACTGAATTTGAAAGCAAGCTGGAAGAGGCAGCTAATAATTTGGAACAAAAGACATTTGAAATGAACTCTATGAAAGTAGAGTACATAACACATTGTACATGGGGAATAGCTCCCACCTTCATCACTTTCTCTTGTCTCTCAAATCTCCATCATGGAAATAAAAGGAAAGGAAAGCAAATTGTTATCAGAAAGTTTCTACATAACTAGTTATTAACCATAACTTGGGTATGTCAGGCCATCATCTGTTTTTGTTTATTATTTTCTTATACTTTTTTCCAATTGAGATTTCTTTTTTTCTGTACCTACTATTTCCTAATGTCTAATCCAGGAACTCCCCCCATTCTCAAGGATGGTTTAACCCCAAATGAAGAAATAAGCAAACCAACCATTTTGGTGATAATAAAGATACAAAAAGATTTGTTGTTAAGAGAAAAAGGAATGAAAGAAAACATTATAGAGCTACAAGCAAACTGACAGAATTAAAGACAGGGTCAACATGAGAGGTAATCTATTATCTCCAGGCATATGGAGGAGTACTGTCAGACAAGCAACATGTACTCTACAGAATACAATTTTTTTTCATCTTTCTGGGCATTAATGCACATCATGAACACTCTGCAAATGTAGTAATCTTTCTCTTATCTGATTCTAAAGGCAAATAGTTAACTCAAATATAGAAATATTAAAGATTAAATACTGTTCACAAAAGGTTTCTATTTACCTGGAATTTGAAGCTCATCCTCAATAAATCGAACATAATTTTGTGCGTTAACAGGCAGTTCTTTAAATGTCCTTGCATTTGATATGTCTGTGTTCCATCCCGGCAGAGTCTTATACTGAACTTCAACTTTATTTAAAACTTCCTGGTTTGCTAAAAGTGAAGAATATATGTGCTCATGGAATACAATGCCTAATATCAAGAGTTTGGTTTTTTGTTTGTTTTTTTAAAATATATACCACAGGTTCCCAATCTCTCCTAAAATTTTTAGAGCCAAATGTGTTAGAAATTTAGAATTTTTTCAGATTATAGGAAGGCAAAATACATGCACCATCTGAAGCAGTATACTATAACAAGCATCTGTATTTCTGCAGCAACACACTGATCATTCACTACTAATAAGATCAAGTTTATGTAGCTATCTACCTAGCTACAAGATAGGTTTTGCTGAAAAAATGTATTTTGGTGCAAAACTAAAACTTTAAATACATGGAGGTTTGGTGATTCTGTACTCTGAATTAGTGAATAGGAAACTGTATAAATAGCCCCAACCTCACAGAGGTCTACATACCTGCTTCCATCTAAAAAATGTATTGTTTTAGTGGTTGTGTTCAAAAGCAAAGCAAGAATTTTCTTCATTATTCTATCTAGCCACTTCCTACATATCCCCAAATAAAAACTACAAACAAAAAGAATAGTTCCTTTGACTAAATGCAGTACAGCGGGTGCTATGGGACTCTGTCACAGATTTCTTTCTTCAGGACTCAGTCTCATTCCCTGGAAGTACTGCATGGTGACCACGCACAGTCCAGAGTTTGCCACCCCTGACTTGCCTTTCATTGAAGAGAGTTGCCTCCGGGGCAGTCCACCCCTCCCATCTCCCCATCTACTGAAAGCTTGTTCTGTAATCACATTGTAATTCAACTTCTTTTTCATTCTGCTTCTATTACTCCCTCAAAGATGTTGCTGCTATTGCAAGCATTGATGGAAAGCGTGGGCTGTTCACAGGCTTAACTACACGACTGTTCAAGTGTCCTTGGAACTGTGGTCCATGGCAAAGTGCTGCAGTTTTCCAGGCATTGTGCCTCTAACCACAAGGTCAGCAGTTCAAATCCACCAACCTCTGCGCAGGAGAAAGATGACATGGTCTGCTCCCGTTAAGATCAGCAGCTTTGGAAACACTATGTAGGGTCACTATGAGTCAGAATTGAATCACTGCCAGTGGGTAGACTTTCTCAGTTATCCCTATTACAGTGTTGTGCCATCGAGGTGCTGTAGGATAAGCACTTGGCCACAAGATCAGCAGTTCAAACTCACCAGCTGCTCCTCAGAAACTATACAGTGTCAGAACTGACTCAATGGCACTTAATAACAGCAGCAACAACATTCGGGCTACAGGCTATAACTCTGTGCTGTGACTGAAAATGTAGCAATGAACATAGCATGATTTTGTTAAACATTTTCATCATTCAAGGTTTCACATTTTTTTCAGCTTTCATTCATTCGAGAGTTAAGTCTATTAAGTTCATCACATGGAGGCTGTTTCATCCTTTGTTGTTGTTGTTAGGTGCCATCAAGTTGGTACCGACTCACAGCGACACTATGCACAACAGAACGAAACACTGCCTAATCCTGGGCCAACCTCACAGTTGTTGCCATGCTTAAGCCCACTGATGCTGCCACTTTGCCAATCCATCTCGCTGGGG